CTCAGCAGGATGGGGGTAGGTGTCTAGGATTGCGGCTGGTTACCCTGCCCTTGCACCTCACGAAATGCTCCCTCCCCTACGACCAAGCGTCTCAAATAGCCTATGCTCAGGAAGCCCTACTCACTGCCTTCTCGCGGCGGAGGTGTTTTCCCACCAAAGTGAGAGGACGAAAAGCCAATATCTGGAGCTATAGCCAAGTTGGTGGACCACTGGCAGTTCACCTAGGGGAGTTGACCAAAAACCCCGATTCCAAACCAACCATGGGGAGACGTACAAACCACACCCACACCTTTTCGGATGTAGCAGTGGTCACCGGCTCAATTGGGCACCTTGAACGTTTGACCCCGTCCAATGAGTATGATCCGATAAACTGGACACCGGCCCCCAATGGATTGCGGTTTTCACACCGCCCCGCTATCTTGCGGGTCAGGCTTTGACCAGCCAAAGAATCCGGTTGTGGATTCCTCAAGAAAATTCATCTGCCTTGGCCTGGGCAACCTGGCAGTACTCAGCCCACACGCCAATCATGGAACGTTCTTTCTTTTTTATAAAGACTATTATACCATGATTTGATTGGTTATAAGTGCAACCTCGAACAAAAAATCGAGCGTTGTTGGAGAACGTTAGTCGAATCGAATTTCATCAAGCTAAATCATTCTGTCGCAACAGATAACCGAAGTGAAATAAAGTAAATACGATTGCTCTGTAATGCAGATAAAAACCAGCAAGAGCCTCTCAATTAACAACCCCCAGGAAAAGTGACATGATTTACATCCATACTAGCTGTCGGATAGTGACAGTTCACATTTATCGAGGCTAAAAGGATACCATATGGTAAATGAAAATGAAGATAACTGTATTGGAGAAACAAGGGGGGTGGGGGTGGGGACGAAATGAAACTTCATGTCCACCAGGCATACCTGTTGATTCTGAGTCATGAAGAGTACGATGCCTTTACGATACGCTATATGGGCGGTGAAATTCAATGCATCGAAAAGAAGTGAATGCGTCTGATCCAAATCGATAATATCGATTCCCTGCCGTGTACCGTAAATGTAAGGTACCATAAACGGGTTGCGCAATGTGGACCGGTGTCCGAGGTGCGCACGTGCCTGAAACAATTCTTTTACTGTAACAATATCGTGCAGATTGAAGTAATCCGGAGACGCCAACGGATTTGGCTCGGCCAGTGGAATTTTGTTGCGAACTGCGGAAGCCGTTGACAGGCAACGCCTAATCGAAATCCCCAACATGGCTAAAAAGACCACAATAGGGAGGTATTGAAAAAAATCAAAGAAATGGAATTCGAGGCTAAATTCATGCCGATGCAAAACACGGAACGATGACTCAAAGCATTTGTTCTTACAGGTCCACGATAAGCCTGATTAGTATCGATGGTATCGAACGCTCGGTATGAGTCCTGTTTCAACAGCTCATGATATGGTGTTTACAGGTTCTACTGTACCAACGAGGATCTAGTCTGAATCGAAAAAATGGCGGAGCTGACTAATTCTGCAGTGAATGCTACTTAGATCATGAATTGATAAATAAATACAGTTTCGCTGAGACACCTCCCAGCTGGCCGCAGATTTATTAATGACAATTAGAAGTGCAAAGTAGACGGTGGTTCAAAAGCGCCCTCTGCATCAACTATTCCTTAAAGCACGAACCTCGACCTCAAAGGAGAAACCAGGGGTGGTAAAAGCACACCTTGGCATAGCCGAGGCAACAAGTATCTGTATTTTCAAAAATCTGCGCACAAAAATTTGATTGTCCCATAAATCTAGTAACCACAAACAAGCATGGATCGTTTTAAACCACGACGGTGGTTGTCGTAGAACTAGAGATCACGAAGTCAAACAACAGTCAGGGAACACCAAGAAACTCGTGGGTCATCAGATATCAGAATACGCCAATAGTTTACAGTCAGAAATGCATATCAACAGCAATTACTCACACATTGTATAAAGTGTTTTATACAGTGCCGGGTACTCGTTCAAGACTGTCAGGAGCTTGTTCTTGAACTCACCCTCAGTGATGATCAGCTGAAAGTGTTTGAGAGCTTCTAATATCTCAGGAGCTTGATTGCATCTGGAGGTGATGTTGAGTAGGGGATCACGTCACGAATAGCGAAAGATAGAGCAACTTTCGCCAATCTAAGACACCTTTGGTAATGCCATGACATCCGACTGTCCCTCAAGGGACATAGTGCACATTGCCACGGTTCGCAGTGCTCTGCTCTACGGTTGCGAGACCTGGCCACTCCGCGTTGAGGATGTTAATGGAATGCCTGTGTCAGGTGAGCAATGGCTAGGTTCGTCGTAGTGAGTTCGGTGTGGATAGTCATTCTCTAAAAGAAGTGCTCTCTTTGCACATGCTGGATAAGGCTGAAAGAAGAGCCGCGGTGGTCAGACCATG